CTATGTATGTTTGTATGAGCCCATAGGGCCATGTGTTTGTGTATCTGCCCGAAGGGTATGTGTGCTCTGTCTAACTGTATAGCGAGATGTATGTGCTGAAAGGCCAGATATGTGGAGTATTATGTAGAGGGAACTTTGTGTTCATTTGAAGAGATGACAGACCAAGCTGGACAAGAACCCCCCCCAAACTCCCAAGCCAGACTCGAACCCGTGACTGGGGAGATCTTCAGAACAGCCACGAGCAACAGCCACAAGCAACCCACGCAGTATCAAGACCCGACATACAACACTATGGACAACCCTTCGGTGGTGCACAGGCAGTGTCTGCATAAGCTTACCATGCGTCAGCCCAAGGGAATGCGTGTCCAGTTGTGCGTCATTCTAACGCCCTGCCGGTGTCCATGCACAAGGCTGCAATTGAGTTTTGAACCCGCAACCTCATACCACAATGTGCATTTCCAACCGGTGCTCTAACCACTGAGCTACATCAACTGGACTCTTTTTTTTCTTTCCTGAGGAAGCAGAATCTCGGTTGTTTATCAGGGGCTCCACGTCGATCAGCTGGTAAGGTAAGGGACGCGAGGGGCATTCAGGAGGTGTCGGGCTCAATCCCCATTCGGCTCATGTACCTTCCTGCTCAAGCTTGGCGACTGCCACCGAGAGAGAGCCCCTTGGTCCCCCCGAGTGGCATTGAGCGGTGACTGCTAATGTTTGTAGGGGGAGGAGACTGGAGGGGAGGCACAGTGACTGACCCATCAAAGAAGCTCGGTCCTGATGCTACCGGCTGACCCCTGGCCGGTATCGGCCACCTGCAAGTAGAGTGCAGCCCGCCCATGTTCCCTCGTTGGAGGCTTGAACACGGGGTGACTACTACGGGGTTCCCACAGTAATACTACAATGCAAAATAAAAAAGACCGGAAAGGCCGCTGTCCTCTCCAGAGTCCAGATTAAAAAAAAAGACTCCCATCAGAGGTGGGGAGCACTTGAATGCCTTCGGCGTCTTTCATTTTTTTTTTTTTTCACTTCTTTTGTTTTTCGCGTGTGAAAACGACGACCTTCTTTGTATTCCCTCTGTTGGTCAGAGGTCCAGCAGAAGGGTTTCAGAGAGGAGGGTAACGGAACCGCCCTCTTTTTCCCTTCTGCTGGTACCTTTCACTTGCAGGCTCGACAAAAATTGGCTTGCAGGGCATTTTTAGACTTGGCACCAATAGCTGAGAGAGGTACTGGTGGTTTAAACCACCAGTACCTCGCCCAGCTACCGAGTCCAAGCCTCCCGCTACCGGTAAGCCGAGCCTTGCCGAGCCTAGAGCTATGGGTAGCAGGTTTTTCTTCATTTTTCGAAAACAGGTTTTTCTTCATTTTTCGAAAACCAAAAAACGAAAGTAAAAAAAAGAAAACGAACCAGCCTCTGAAAAGAAAAAAAGAGAAACGAAGACGAAAGTAAAAAAAAGAAAACGAACCAGCCTCTGAAAAGTAAAAAAGAGAAACGAAGAAATACACCGGGCGGGAGAGAGAGAGAGAGAGAGAGAGCCGGTGCGTTGCCACGTCGAACGGGCCGAGAGAGAGAGAGAGAGAGAGAGAGAGAGAGAGAGAGAGAGAGAGAGAGAGAGAGAGAGAGAGAGAG